TGGTGATGGTCTGTGTCATTGCCGTGGTGATGATGTGTTTCGTCACCGTGGTGGTGGTGATCTGTTTCATTGCCGTGGTGGTGGTCTGTGTCGTTGCCGTGGTGGTGGTCTGTTTCATTGCCGTGGTGATGGTCACCATGGCTGTGGTCATCTGGATGATCGTGTGTGTGGTTGTCATTGCCGTGTTCATGTGCGTGATCACCGTGGCCGTGCCCTTCGTGGCCGTGCCCTTCATGGCCGTGACCTTCGTCGTGGCTGTGCCCTTCGTCGTGGCCGTGCCCTTCGTGGTCGTGCCCTCCGTGGTCGTGTCCTCCGTGCAAGGCCTCCGGACCGATTCCCAGCCTCTCCATTAGACTGTCCAAGCCTGTTGAAAACACAGACCGTCTCGTCCCCGCTCGCCATCCACCCTCCTCTCCCCTCGCAAGGACTCTCTCACACCTTCTGCCCAGGTCTCCAGCGGCCGCACACCCAAGACCACGGCCTACGAAGCCCCAGAGAAGGCGCCAGATAGTCTCCTCCTTTCCCCCTCGTGCTATTTTAAGACACACTCCTGTGCCAATTCAGGCAGGGAGGGGGCCTGCCACGCCCGGCCCACCTCAGCGAACTGCAGCCCAGGTTCTGCCTGACCTTGCATGGGGTTGTGCCCTCAGCCACACAGGCACACCAGCCCTGGGTCTGGAGCTGGAAAAGGTGCACTCGAATGATCGAGGGGCCGGGACGTTCCTCCGTGAGGAAAAGTCCTGGGGTCTGGCCTGATGTGTTGACACAAAAGCGGAGGGAGGAGAAACACGGAAGGGGTGTGCGGAATTATGCCCGGAACGGGGAAAGCAGAAGGGACTCAGGGGGATCGGAGACCCGGAAAGATTCGGGCGCTACCTGCGTCTCGTCCGCCGGATTCCCCGCAGCCTGTGGTGCGGCAGCGACTTACCTGCCTGTGTGAGGTTGTGGGTGTCGTTGCCGAACTGCTGGAAGAGGTACTCCACGAAGTAGTGCTCGGGCGGAAGGGGGTGCAAGCAGCCCCCCTTCAGCACATGGTAGGCGAGAGTGGCGAGGACTCGGCCGGCCGGGTCAGGTGTCACTCGGCTGGAGACCAGGGTGCTGTTCGCCAGGATCTGGGGCGCTCCGGCGCAGGACTGGGGGCAGCGAAGAGCAGATCAGCTGCGGCACTGCCGTCTCTCAGCCCCAGCCGCTAATTCCCCATGTGGTCTTTTGTAAGGGCATGGTTCTGTGCGGGTTCAGACAGAAAAACGCTGCCTGCCGCTCCCGGCGTGGGCATCCTTCTGTCTGAGCTGGCACAGCACTGCGTCTCTAGGGCCCCCGCCCAAGAGGGCCAACAAATACCGCCAGTGCATTAATACCCAGTGATATGTAAGACAGGGAGGGAAGAGCCGAGGGCTGCGGAGGAAGGGATCCGAGCGTGAAGCTGGAACAGAAGTATGGGAAGTTAGCAGGAATGATTAAATGCCTGCATGTCTTTATGCTTAACCATGAGGACTAGAATGTTGCTCCTATTTATTTGTTTATTAGAGTATTTGTATGCCGTCTCATCGCATAGCCTCAGGACAGCTTACATAAATAAGAAAAATAAAATAAAACATAATACAAATAAAATCCAGATCCACCCTGGCTGCAGATTAAAACCTATATACCTGATGTTAAAAGTTGTTAAAATATTGTTGAAATAAAAAGGTCTTAGCCTGGCGCTGAAAAACAAATAAGAACGGTGCCAGGTGGACCTCTCTGGGGAGCGAATCCATAGGCGGGGCGCCACCGCAGAGAAAACTCTTCTGTTTTTGTATGTGTGATCCACTGCCCTGGGCTTCTTGTGAAGAAGGGCAGGATATGTGTTAGAATGAAAGACAGACAGACAGACAGACAGACAGGCCCATTTAAAGAAGCGAAGTTGCTTTTCTCAGATTTAAGAAAGGAAAGGGGACAAATGATTCCTTTTCACCACAAAGTTCATGCCATTTTCAGGGCCGCTTCGAAGATCTGTAGTCTGAGAAAGCATCTCACTCTGCGCCCCTGAGAACCACAGAGAAGGCCTGGCATCTCAGTTCTGTGGCAATTTCCGAGACAGACGCGCCGGGATTCCCCTTCCTTGTGCAGCCCAAACAGAGTGCCTGCCAGCTCATCTTTGCACATAACTCCTAAAAATAGCCCAGCGTTTGGTCTGGAAAGCTTCCTTTTTAAGACACATCTGGGGCCACTGCCCGGTTGCGCCCGACTTCCTGGGACTGCCCCATTCCTGCCTTCCACCAGCCCCACATGAGCACGGTGGGGCAGGCAGAACCCAACGGACAAAGCCGTCCGCATCTGCCCTTCGCCGCCCCCGGACAAGCCGCACGCGCCCGTAGAGACGCGGGGACTCGTTTGGACAAACGCTGCCCCGGCGTGCGAAACGGAGCCTTCCGGGGCACGTGCCACTAGCCACCTGGAAAAGCCGGACGCCCCGGCCATATCCGTCAAAAGATATTCTTCAGAAGGCAGGCTGTGAATGCCAAGAAGGTTCTTTTCCATCTGGAGCCCAAGCACCGGGGGGCAGTGGGAGAGCGTTTGAACTGAATCGGACCCGTCCCTGTACGCCCACGGCATTTATGGACGAATCAGGTCCGTGCCAGGAGCTGCAATGGGGCAGAGGAGTACCAATGGCTCCCCAGCTCCGGCCGCCATCTTCCTTACCTCCCCCTTCGCGGCAGCGTGGAGGTTTTTCTGGATGGCCGCCATCACTTCTGCTGTTCTGCCCTGCAGGGCGTCTGCTCTGGGGCTCTTCTCGAGGAATTTGAGCGTGAAAGCACGGCGCTCCTCTGCCCAGTGCCCCTCTTCCACTGCCCGGCAGGCTGCCGCGGGATCGGTGAGGTACAAGACCAGGCCGGCCGAAAAGGGCATCAGGTCTGCGGAAGTGAGGTTGGCGTCTCCGGGTGCCTTCCCGATGATCTCAGAGACAGAGAGGCACTGCAAGGGGGGGGGGGGTGACAAAGAGTTCAGTGACACTTCAAAACTTGCACATCTGGAAGGTAAAAGCTGCCATATTTCGTATTGTCTCTTCTTGGGAAATAAAGAGGAACACCCGCTTGACTCCCACACAAGCTGCCCTTCTTGCGCGATGCGACACATTTCTTGGGAGAGGCGTTTCGACACGGCCACGCAGCCCTCCGTTTCCCGTGACAGCCCTCTGCACGTTGGCGAACACATCGGCTGATTGCATCAGGAAGTGGTGCAGCGTCTCGGGAGCAGCTGCCGGCAGGGCATTGCGTTTGGTCTGGTCGGGAAGTGACTGGTACCCAGCTATGACTCGCTGTCTCCCGCCTGGCGCCAGCTCCGTCAGCCCGTAGAGAGCGGCTCTCTCGGTCCTGAGGAGCAGCCGCTTGGCTCGTGGGGGCAGGAGGGCCTGGGGTGGCAGCGGCTCCAGTCGAGTGTGTTTGCGAGCCCTTCTCTCTGGGAAAACTTGTGGACATTATGCAAAAGTGTAACTAACTAACTCTCTCTCTCTCTCTCTGTGACTCATTTCCTTTCCTTTCTGTGACAGCTTCTTTGAAAGAAGAACTTGGAGGTTCTAATAAGGAAGAAAATGCATTATTTGCACAGGTGAAGAACACTAAAGCCATGTTCTCTACCCACCTGGAAATAAATAGACCGGTCCATGACTCTGCTAGAATGCCATTCCAAATTCGATGCCCAACTACAGGCCATTACGGTCTGGCCAGGGCAACTTCTTCTCCCTTCTCTTTTCTCTTCCTATATTCTTTATTTACTTATTTTATACTGTTAATTTTAATTTTATATTATTATGTTTGTATCTCAGTGTATTTTTTGTATTTTTGTATTTAGTGGTAATTTATTATGTTCTATTGTATTTCAATGTATTTCATTGTGTTGTAAGCCGCCCCGAGGCTTCAGCAAGGGGCGGCATAGAAATGTTATAATAGTAATAAAAAATAATAATAATTACGACAGACATAGAAACACAGAAACAGAGCGAGGCAGAAGGGGTCTCCCGGGCCATCTAGTCTGACCCCGGCTCCAGCTGGCTCCGCTGTATTTCACTAGCTGATTCCCAGGCAACAGTAAAATGTTTAGAACTGAGTCAGACATGCTGGTCAAACTGGCCACAAGCTGGAAGCCGAGAGGGTGAAAGGAGCGCAGTTCGCTCCACGCCCAGAAGAGCAAGGAGCCACCTGGCAGAGGAGTGCTCGGACATGACGGTGGGGGGAACCGTCGGAAGGAAACGAGGGGCCAGACTAACCTTTCATTCAAATGGCTAGAAAGACGCGTGAGCCATTTTTAACAAGGGTGTTGAACCAGAAGAAATGCATTGCTCTGCCCACACGGGGAGCAAGGAAGGATCGGAAAACTTGCTATTTCGCACAAGAAAGTGCAAGGAAATGGCTTAGTCAGGCCGTCAGTGCGGCAAGCAATGTGGAAACCGAACCACACGGATTGTCCCAAGCGGAAAGGAGAGGTGGAACCACACGGTTGTCTGTCAAAGGCTCCTGGAGGAGCAGAAAGGGCCGAAAGGGATTTTGCCATGACGGGGGGCAACCGTGGCTCATAAAGCACCTGCCACCTGTCCCGGTGAGATCAGTAAAGGGGCCCAGCCGACTGCCCCAAAAGACCCACTGCCGATGCGTGGGCAGGCGCGGGGGGGAGCATTTTCTCTGCAACGGCACCCAGGCCGTGGCGCTCAGCAGTTAGGCAGTGAGCTTCTTTCGGGGTGCCATGAAGAGACAGAGCAAGTGCTGTGGGAAACACAGCTGGCTCCCTTTCTCAGCACACGCCAACAGAAAGTTCCCCTTGGTTTTCTTTCTGGCTTAACTGCAAATTGGGCTTCCTTTTTCCTCTCTGAAGCCCAGAAAATGATGTAGCGTGTTTCTCTGCCGTGA